TTCTGTGTAGTTCTCTTCTGTAAAACACTTTTTTCAAACACAGTTTATTTATATAGTGCCTTTTAGTAAAGCTTTACTTAAATGCTCTAATTGAACTAAGGCCTAAGCCTGGCTTAATCTAAGCCCTGTCTGTGAAACCGGGCCTAAACGTAACATCTAATTAAACTTACACTGAAATGTTTTCATAGACATGATGCGAAATCAGGCCCAGTAAGTTCTTGAATGTGATGAATGATGGGATAAGCTTAACCTCAAAAATCTAAAGTGAATTTAGTGTGCTGCGCTTTGGCATTTCTCAGACCTGGGACAGTTTTCCGCACTTCCTGTTGCACGCATGCACTCTCAAGCGGCCAAGACCGCAAGTGTGGGTATTTGGAAAGGCCCATTATGTCCAGATTGCATTCACACTACACGCTTACATAATTTATGAATGGTCACCAAGCAAAGCACTAAGGAGAGACAATCAAAATATTCAGGGTTAAGGCCCTCATATTCTTACAGTGAATTTGGAAAACGAACAGGTGTGATGTCATTTTGAACAAAATCTGGCCAAAATGGTGTTTTGGAGTGTATTTCGGTGCTTTGAAACCGCTCACCAATGTGACCTTTTCTGAAACATAAATCAACACGATTTTGATAACAGTATAGCACATACATGCATATAAATATCATTGTCACTCTATATCACCCAATAAAATGTCTTAGTAAGATGACATTTAAACGCTTAGTTTTGAGATCAAAGCTCTGTAGTTTTTATTATGGGCAATGCAACAAGTTATTCTTATGTTTACATTATCATATCTAAATTAGCATGATTTTCATAAAGTAGGCTTTATAGGAGTTTAGTGTTCAATAGCTTAGATGTTACTTATACTTTAGTAGAAAGTAAAAACACTCAACCACAATTACAGGATCCAAAGAGGTACAACTTTATTTGTAAACAACCAAACATTTATAATAATAATAATAAAAAAAAAAAACTGCATAGGAAATGTTTAAAGTCCACAAAGACGAAAGAACAAGACTGCAGACCACTAAATATTTCATATAGTCTCATCAGCCTTATTCAGAGTAATAAATGACTGTTCTGTTGCTTTGGTTGAGAGGGTGACCGATGGTGGGATGGTGAGTTATGAAACAGAAAGAGAAAGAGATGAAGAAGAGTGGTGGGCCTCTTAGAGGGCTCCTAAGCCAATATCATCCAGGACAACTGACCTGGAATCAGCATTTGCTACTTTGATTCTACCCTAATCGTTGTATTTTAAAAAGGCAAAACTGATTCCAGGTGAGAGCTTTGGGGCAGAATCTGCCCACACCTCTTTGCTTAGCCTGTCTCACAGCCAAGCCTCTTAAAAGCACTGTGACTTAAGGGAGTTTAGAAGGTATTGATGTACATATCAAATTTCAGTGCCAGGGACACAGGGTCTAAATGTCTTCTGAGACAGACTGTTGCCCTCAAAGTTCTTGAAAAACAAATTTTCCAAGCCTTAAGGCATTTCTGATCATCTCAAGGCAATGAATTTTGTAGCAGACTTTGAATGCAAACACATTTAATCATAGTTTATCCATCATGGGGTTATATAGTTATAAAATCAAGATAGGACTGTGTAAAGAACACAAAATACAGACATGCTGGTATTAAGGTTTGAATTGAATTGTTCACCCCCTCATTGACTGTTAACTGTGACACGGTTGAAAAGGATCCCATGGAATTCAATAACAGCATTTTTTTACCATCAAAACAACACACAAAAAGCTCATGAGGTACTAACAAAGGATTCACTATCAAACTGTAAGAAACAAATATTGAATTTTTAATCAAATCTCTACAAAGCTACCTGAGTTGTTTTAATGTGTATACACATCTCTTTTTTTTTCCTTAAGATAATACAATCATAAAAGGGTCTATGACCACACAATTCTGAACTTACATTTTCTGTTTTTCCCCAGTAAGGAAGAAGTCATAAGCTGGAATACACCAGAAATGGTGACAAAACCCGTACAATTAGAGACCAGAGGTCCAACAAAAACAAAAACAAAAAAACCTGCAATGATCTGGAATTCAAAGACACCGACTGAGTTTGATAACAGCGACTTTCATGTCCATTGAGGCAGAAAGTATGTAGATGACATACGGTATCAGTCCTACAAAAGTGAATTGTATCTCAAAGTAGAATTTACACTTTCAATAGTATCCTAATCACTGCTAAAGGGGTTTTAAATAGTGGCTTACTGATCTCGCTTCCATCATCACAACCCACAAAACGGCTGCCTGATTCCTTCGCCAAATATAACGCTACCAGTTTTCAGCGGTAACTGTGGGAGCTGGATTCAAACATTTACCCATCTTTGGTCCTGTAGGGCACCTGCTCAAAAACTCGTGTTACACACAAAAGCCAACATCTAGGGACGTGTTCTGCGAGCGTTTCGCCTCTATGTAAAGATGTTGACAGTGTGTTGAAATACAAGAATGATCGATGCCAAACATATTAATCTTTGGGCAAACGTGAAAAATCGATTTATAAATACATCCGTGGTTTCATTTGAACGAGGTCTTTGGCAGTTTTCCAGTTCTGATGCTAAAGCTAAGAAGCTGTGGTAAGGCATCTGAATGGAGCTCAATGAGGTACCTTACTCTGTAAAGCTATCTAGAAATAGTACAATCATATAGTCAACCATTCACCAAGACCAAACAAATGATATTCACGTAAATTGATTTTTTTTTTTTGGTACATTATAAAAGTGTCCATGTTTTCTTCCTCCCTCCCCTTGTTTTCCAACATCCACCTGTCTTCAAGGACCTTTACAGCATGCAAAAAAATTTTTTTCCCTCTTAAAGAGAGCAGGGATTCAGGGAGAAAACTTTGCAGCTAAATACTAATCAGATCAAATGTGATAATACTGGAAGACAGGGAAGGTCAGCAAATCTTTCATTCTTTATTGCATAAGCTTCTTACGTCCATCAAATGGGTTTCCGTTACCCATGCTGGTCCTTTTATTCCTCTATTGTGGTCTAATGTGCAGAGGTCTATCAATTTTCATAACTCTAACTGACTGCTTTCCACTCTTACCATGTGTAAAAAGCAACATTACCATAAAATTCACATCTCTCGTTTAAGCTGCAACATAAATATGCCTGATGATCCACAATTTGAAGTTAATATTAAGGTCATAATGAGGTAATATACATAAAGAAAAGAACAGTAAAGAAAGATCCACTTTATAAATGAAAAGCAAACGCTCAATGCAATCGTGACCTTCAGAATCATTTTTGGCACTTGCCCATTTCCAATAGTCACCCTTTGGCAAAGACATTCGATTTCGATTTATCTAGCATCACGAAAGGCACAGGCAACTACATGCAAGCACGTTAATACTTATGACAGGACACAAGATAACTGCAGCCTACAGGAAAACACTGGGGCAAAACATCATGACCACTTTCCAATAGGTCATCCAGCTCTCCCACAATTTCTGATTTTAAATGTTACCTCAAGTGTAAAACGGAAAGCATCATGCAAATTAACCCCAAAGCTTCAAAAGGGTTGGTTCTGTAAGTGGGCCTGCCATGCATGTACGGTCCAGACAACAAGTTGGTACCACACACTTGCAGTTCACCCACTTCAAAATATCCAACACACGCACACATGATGCCCGCGAGAACAGAAACATACAGATTAACAAGGAAACACTCTGCGTTTAGTGGTTAATGATTCTCATTGCCTCTTTGCATGACTTCATATAACTTGCGATAACTGAGGTATGACTACATTGGTAAGAGATACTTTCCTGTCGTCATAAACTTTCATAAGAAGTTCAGGCAGACTATAATGGGAGAGCCATGTGCTTTTGTTCTGCTGTATACCAGTGCTATATATTCATAAATTATTTTTCTTTCCTCCTAATGATTTGCTTCATCTTTTTTTCCTTTTAATCAATCGAACACCGAAGCAAACAACACTTTAAAGTGGTTACCCACAAGTCAGGCACAAACTATCCGATTTCAAACTGGGTTCAATTGATTCCAAGTGTTTTCAAATGATGTTGCACTGACGGAGTGAACGGTCTCCCTGGAGATCTTTCTTTAAACTGGCACAGGAAGCACTGTAGGCCATGCTGTAATCAATAGAACAACAAAAAACAACTTATGATCTAATGCAGCTGTTTGTAATGAGACCTACGAACTTGGCCTCAAAATACATCCAACGTTGAAAAAACACAATACAACGTTTCCCAAGTATGAGAGATAACTGGCAAACAAGGATATAATCCAGTTCGTCAATCATGTGCCTCTATTTGAACAGATTTTACCTTGCCTAAATTGTTCATATGAAGAGACAAAAACATAATATTAATAATAGAAACACAAAGATAAGGGCTAGGCCATTTTTACACTTAGATATTCCATTTAGTGTCTACATTCTTTCAATGATCTGAAGATATTATTTAAAGAACATTCTCCATTTCATTCTTTTTTTTAATCATATCACATTTAAAATAATCATGGGTATCTGTTCTTCTAAAGTCTTGTTGCAAACTCTTGATTACATCATGAGGGTCCTATTAAATTACTAAATTCTGATAATTTGCCTAGTTTAGCAGTCTCTTTCATTAGTTATAGAAAATTAATTTTTGGTAACTGCTTGCATAATTTTCAAATGGAAAAGACCGTAAAGTGAGGTAAATGTGTAATGAGGCTCATGGACCCAGAGGTATAATACAGTAAATGAGGTAAGCGGTTTAAATGAGGTACGAGATAAAGATGAAGTCTGATTTAAAATGTACACGAAAATTCAAAAAAAGAACACATAGCAGTAGATATATCAAAAAGTTATCCTTATGTTTCTGCCAAAACGTGCAGCTCTGTTTTTGTCCATCGCTATGAGAAACATTCAGGGATATAACTTGCGTTCTTTGCACAGTAACAATCAGGAAAAAATTGTGCGAACTGTGCAAATATCCAAACATTGCTTCATTTTGTTTTCTTTTGTTTTTTTCCCCCTCACATTTTACAAACAAAAAAAAAAAACACTGAGGTAGACGTTTCTTTATAAAACTTCACGGACTAGGTCTCTGCACAAACGTGAGTACATTCATACATAAGCTAGATGAGGTAGGTGGGATGCAGAGAGAAAATATTTCAAGAATGCAAGAAATTCCCTGAGAAAAAAAAAGAAACAGGATTTGAAGACACATACCAAGAGCAAAACACTCTCAGCTTGCAGCAATCGAAACTGTGTGCTGTAACGGCAAGCATTTGGTGTTACACAATCACTGAGAATCGTACAAAACTATCCACAACTGTTGTCATCTTGCAAAGATCAAACTGCATTTGCTCATGATAGATGTGCAAAATCTCTTTTTCCATTTGTCCACAGCTATAGTTTCATATTTCAAACAATAAAAGGTCAGAACACGAGGATTCGGTTGTTTCCAAAGTCCACAGCCACAATCATTCCATCAGGAGTAACCGCTATACCAGAGGGGCGATCCATTTGGCCGAAGCCGCTCCCTTGAGTCCCAAACTTGCATAAAAAGTTGCCATTGGGTTCGAACACCTGAATGCGATGGTTGCGGGAGTCAGCCACGATAATACGATCCTCCTGGTCCACGGCTACGCCTTGTGGGCGCAAGAACTGGCCATTTCCGGTTCCCTCGGACCCAAGGAAGCGTGCTGACTGGCAATCGGGCCTGATGACAAGCAGCCGATGATTGTTGAAGTCGGTCACGACGAGGTGACCTTCCTGATTAAAAGCTACACCGCGAGGCGAGTCAAAATGTTTCCAGAGGGCACCTTCGAATCCGTATTTGTTGAGGAAAGACCCGTCAGGCCCAAAGAGTTGCACGCGGTGGTTGCGTGTATCCGAAACCAGGATCTTTCCCTCAGAGTTGACGGCAACATCCCATGGGTAGTTGAATTGCCCATTTTTGGTTCCCTTCTCGCCAAATTTGACAAGAAACTGGCCATCGAATGAGAAAATCTGGATGCGGTGATTGTCCTTATCTGCTACAATGATTCTCCTCTGGCTGTCACAGGCGACCCCAGCCGGGCGGTCAAACTGGCCCGGTCGAGAGCCCAAAGTGCCAAACCTGTGGTGGAACGTGCCACAAGGCTTGAAGATCTGCACGCGGTTGTTGCTTCGGTCAGCAACCACCACGTAGCCCTCCTTATCCACGCAGATGCCCCAAGGCCGACACAGTTGCCCGTCCCCATCGCCCTCTCCTCCAAAGGTTGCAATGGGCAAGCCAACACCGCCGTAACTGCGACCGGACTTGACCATCACTTTGAACGGACTTCCCTCAATGTGCTGATTGCATACAAGCACCGAGAGCAAATGCTCACCCTCGCTCTTGGGCAAATAGCCGACTGTGTACGTTCCATCTTGGTGATCAGAAACATCTGCGCTGGACAGATTACCATCCGGATTCATAAGCACAACTGAGACGCTGTCACCACCGGACAACCGAGGTTCACCATCATGATCATACCCTACGACAGTAAAGGAAGCTAGCTTTCCTTGCAGTGCTCTCTTGAGGCCTTCACCGTGAGCTTTGGAAGCTGTGGCAAAGGCTCCACTGCTGATGAGGCCCATGGACTTGATGGCAATCAGAAGAGCCTGGTCTGGAGGGGTGAACATGATGCGATCGTCTTCTTGGGGCTGTAGGAAGCAGCGGAGAGATTTAAGCTCCTGTAGCTGATTTAACATGTGCTCGCGTGCTAGCAGGACATCTATGCTACGGCCTTCTTCTAAAACCTGCGTCACTGTGGCGATAGTACTATCCAGCTTGGTGAGATTCTGGTGTAGTTTCTCAACCTGCAGGTAAAGTGATTTTGCCTTCACCTGGCGGATCTTTTCCACCTGTGCAGGAAACAAATTTGGTTGCTGATGCTTCAAAAAGTATTTCAAAGCAAAGTCAGGACTATATTTTATACTTAAATATGAAGACAGACTTTCAAAAGGTAGTTATTATACTCCATTAATTAATGTTCATTCATTCACCTTCCAGAGCAGCTCACACTCGCGTTCCTCCAGAGCTTTCTTATGACGTAGAGTGATCGTTTTCACTTCTGACTGCACAACCTTAGCCTTCAGCTCCACCTGTTCAGCAATGGCTTGGGCTTTCTCGATGCTCAGCTGAAAGAAAGTAAAAGAAAGGTATTAGACGGATGCACCCTTGTGGGGACATTGCAATTCACTGAAAAGCCGGAGTAATTCCATTTGTCGTCTATTTGAAATGGTCATGAAAAAAAAAAAAAACTGATATATTAAGACTGCACACAAAATAGCTGATTGTAGGGCAAAGTTACAAATTTGCAATAATTTAACAGTAGCAAGAGAACCCAAAAAACTTTGCGATGATTCGTGGATTCATTAGATTTCTTCAGGTAATTAGCTGTTAGTTGATTACATCTTTAGAATGTCTATCTTCAACAAGAGTCTTCCACAAAAAGCACACAGAGGCTAAGGAGCTATGAAGGAAGTACTATGCTGGACGATGGTGAACCTTAATGTCTAAATCAGGTGTCAACTCTGGCCCCCTTTCCTGTAGAGTTTAGCTCCAACCTGGATTAAACTCACCTGCCTGTACCTTTCTAGTAGACCTTGATTAGTTTGTTCATGTGTCTTTTTATAGGGGTTGGAGCAAAACTCTGCAGGAAAGTAGATCTTGAGGGCCTGGTCTAAATCAATGAATGAATTAATCCATAAACACATTGAACGGCATTTCAGAAGTTTGAGTTCTTTAGGTTGTCATGGTTTACAAACTGCAACATTTGAATTTGGATCTTGACAACTGAAGTCATTTCACTTCTAGTGCATAGTTTTAGGAGCCAATAGCTCTAAAGTAATTTCTTTATTCTGCAATTTAATTATTTACCACCTAAAAGAACATGAAAAAATAAATATAAAATTACTGCAAAAAGGTCTAAATCAAACTAATAAATACAAATAAATTACAAACTCTCCACCAAACAAAACAGCTAAAATGTCTTCATTTGAAAGGCTCCAAGAAAGAATTAAAGGCGTCCTTTGTGATATCACACAAAAGAGGGATAAAAACTCTATCCTGAATACAATGACCTCCAACATCTGCTTAAACAGCAATCTGCGCACAGTCCTACCTATGCATGTCAGCTAACATTTAAACTGCCAACCATTCTAACATATCACAACCTTAATTTACATCCAGCTCTGATTGAGCTTTCAGGGATTCCACTATAATCTAAGGGAGCCTTCACACTGGGCACGTTTTCTGCGGTCCGAGTGCCAGCCGCAGCGTTTCACACTCACTTGATTCCATCGAACCCTGCCGCATTTGTGTTCAATCTTACGTCATCACAAACGTGCATGGCAGATGATTGAAAACAGAATGCAGGTGAATGTATTGGTAATGTATTATTTGTGAACGACACAGCGTTCACTGTATGTGCATCACATGAAGGCTTGAAAACGGTCTCTTTTGAGAAAGCTGATTCCAAGCCATTCATTTGTGGCTCTGATTGCACACTCTCCACTCTCTCTCGCTGGCATCCGAGGCAAATCATCGCCACTGTCATGCCCTACATGATTTTTGAGTGCTTTACGTGCTCTAAAACATCCCCTAAAACAAGTGCGCACCCAAGTCGGAGTTGCTTTTACATTCATGCAAATAGAGCTACAGTTCCATTGCAACCACATAACAGTTTTAACATTACCAGTTTTCATGTGAACGTCCTCCTGTTTAGAACTAAACTGCCAGTGTGAAAGCACCCTAAGATATATTTTTGGCCATTATCAACTCTTAAGCATTGTCATTTCAAAGATTATGGATGACTGATCATACAAAATCCAATCTGTGATGACACCTGAAATTCACACACATTGAGAGGAGATACCAAAGGACTCTTTAGTCACATGATCTGGGTCAAGAGGGTTTATATATTAAGAGGGAAAAAAAGTGTGGGAACGAATGTCATTTACTATGGAGCAGAAGACCAGATTACCTAATCTGAACCAAACCAAAATGTTCAAAGAGGGTCCGGGGGTCTAATACATACAGCGAAAACATAACAGCTTTACACAAATGCATTTACAAAATCATTCAAATAAATTTCAGGCTTTCTGGACACAAATGTAACAATAATGCTTATAATAATAATAATAATAATAATAGTCATTGCACTGAAATCTTTGTCTGGCATTATACCTCTTGTGTTGCAAAGAAATTCTGCAGCGTTATGCATTATATTATCTTATATTAAAAAATATATATATATTTAAATAAATATATATATATATAGAGATAGAGAGACTCTTAAAGTCTTGTTAGCAAATTTTTTTTTATTAACTTTTTTTTTTAAGCAATACCATTTCTTCCCCAAGTATCTTCCCCAACACTGGTTAAAAACCAATTGTAAATAATATAGTTATTGAAGGATGAAAATTTATATTTGTTTATACTGTGCACTGTTCAGAGTTTATCCCCCATTCCATATTTGCAATTGTCCTCCAAGATATCCCGATTCTAAGATTGAGCTGTCATTCGCAGAATGCAAACCAATCAAGGGTCAGATACGGAATGGGAGGAAAGGAATAAGCAGCTGCAAAATAACAGGCTAAATTCCAGTAAATGAGATTATGCAGCGCTAAGGAAGACTAAGCTGTCAGGGGTCGGTTATGGAGCGGGCCCATCATGGGCAGCGTGCTCCCAGAATAGAGATTACGACCTCTGGCTGAAGCCATTGTTAAACTCTGCATGCGCTTTCAAACCTATAACCGTTTAGAGGCTTCCTATTTAACACCATCCAGTAACAGGATTAGAGGGACACTAGAACAAGCAGCCAATCAAGCGCATGAAAACACAGGTCAGGCTCTTTCAGCTGATGCTATAAGGCTGAGCCTGATAAAGCTTTAGGAGAGGTTTAGATAATTGTAAACGCATGGGCTATCTTCGGAATGGAATACTAGCTTACTACTTTCCAAATATACTACTAGGGGTGGACAATATGACAATACAATCCTTGATCTTATCACGATTCTTTTTCACGTTGGTTTTTAAGACCATTTTGCAAGTCACTGAGCAGTTAAACTAATTTCCCCATTTTAAAAATGTTGCCTTACAATGTAACAAAAGAAAAAAAAGAGCGACAGACCATTCAGTTCAAAGTACGGGTGGGCGATACAATCAATTTTATTTTAACTTACGAAATAAGACATGAAATAAACATTGCATTAAAGAGTTAGTTCACCCAAAAATGAAAATTATGTCATTAATGACTCGCCCTCATGTCGTTCCAAGCCCGTAAGACCTCCGTTCATCTTTGGAACACAGTTTAAGAGATTTTAGATTTAGTCCGAGAGCTTTTTGTCCCTCCATTGTAAATGTATGTACGGTATACTGTCCTTGTCCAGAAAGGAAATAAAGACATCATCAAAGTAGTCCATGTGACATCAGTGGGTTAGTTAGAATGTTTTGAAGCATCGAAAATACATTTTGGTCCAAAAATAATAAAAACCACGACTTTATTCAGCATTGTATTCTCTTTTGAAACACAAATCCAATCTGTATGCTTTAAAAAGGATTTTCCTGGCTTTTAGTTGTATCACATTTGTCTCGGTTGGATCAGAGACAAATCAGAGGCTCCGTAGTGAACGTGATTATGTCATCAAATTTTGATCAGCATTAATTCGTCAAAGAAACCCATGCAGTTTTTTTTTTCTCTGAGCCAAACAAGAATGATTATTGATGCTTAGTCCCACCCCTGTGACCAATTGGTTGAACAGTCATCTACTCAACCAATAAACATGGTCTTTTGAACCACCAAATGGCATGTTTCTATGGAAATTTGAACTAACGCAAAGTGAAAGTATTTGCCTTAGGTATTTGCATGCATGAAAAAGAAAAAAAGATTAGCATGAGAGCACTCTCTGACAAAGCGTAACTTTGGCATAACACAAACCAAAAAGAAGTATAAAGCACCGGTAAACATCGCATGAGGCATTGAAATATATGTTTTCAAATGAGTCGCTACACGATTTCCTGATGGAATCGATTTCGACGGAGATAACTGCCACAGCCAAGAGATCAGTTGTGTTTTTGCAATTACTTATATAGCTTGTGAAAATCATTTGCACTGTTTTTTTGTTGCACAAGTTTCACAATTGTTTTTACTGCTGCACTGTGTGTGTTTGTTGTTTGTGTTCAGATTGAAAATTTATATATTGTACACATGTACACATTCATATATTTTTGGGTGAACTCTTTTATGTTGCATGTGATTGGCAACCAGTTATAACTGAAATAAATAAAAATATATTTTGCATTTTGAAATTACATTGTGTCAAAATTGGTGTGTGCATTAATGATGTAATATTAGCTGGACACAGGACATGGGGAATATTTCCCAACAGCCCATCCACAACTTAAAGGACCCAAAATAAAGCCGTGGTCACACTAAGACTTTAAACATTCTCTCCAGCGTATTTTTTATAAACATGTATTTAACATAGTAAAAAAAACTTTTAAAAAAAATATCGTTCTTTTAATTCAGCCAAGAGGTCACGCCGTGACGTATCGATCTGCTACTGGTCACATGTTCACGTGATGTGAATTCGCAGCTCAGAATTCACCAAACTTGAATTTTGGAACGCAGCATGAGCTTGCGTTTCCGGTCCGACACATTCGCATTCGTTTGAATGGAAGTCAATGAAACAAAAAAAGGTATAGTGTGACCGCCCCTTTAGTGATATTTTTGTATTCTCACACAGAAAGGGGAAAAAAGTCAATTGTGGGTAAACTGTCGGGGGAAGTATTCAAACGTAAACGGCACGTTTGAAAAGCATAAACTGCCATTGGAATTCATTCTCTTTAAGTGCCTGAAACCCATCTCTTCTATCTTTCACTTTCAAATTCACTTTGGGTTTCCTTGCCAACCGACTCCATGTCCCTGGAGAAGGATGGGTTTGAACAGTCGTAATGGGTGCCGTTCTCTCCCCCACCCGCAGCGCTACTTTTGAGAGAAATAGAAACATTTCCTCTGTGTGCGACTAATGATCCGCCCTGCAAGGGCCATCAGGGTGTGAATAGAGGCAGTGACCGAGCACTGGGCCAGTGTCCCTCCCTCCCCCTCTTCTATTCTCTTCATTCAGGCCGAGTGGGGGTGATGCTAATAGAAAGTCAGCTTGATTATACAGCCTCTTTTTTAAAACAGGGAAGGACCCTCACTCACGGTCATGCAGTTTCAAGTGTGTTTATGTGCGCGTCGAAAAATCACACAGTGATAATGAAACAATGACCACTACCACTGAAAATAGAGGAAATAATTAACATTGAATGGAATATTAGAGACTTAATACCACTAATAAAATAAAAATAGACAAAAAACATTTACTGTTGACATCTATAGGGAAGTTGCACAAGAAGCTTTTTTAAGCACATATAATATCTTGCATTACTATTAAAGCACTTTGAAATTAAATCAATTTAAAAAAAATAGTTTATTGGTCAGTAAATTTAACAAAATATTTTATTTAGGTATTGGTACAACTTTTCTAGATGGATGAATTAAATATATATATATATATATATATATATATATACACTCACCGGCCACTTTATTAGGTACACCTGTCCAACTGCTCGTTAACACTTAATTTCTAAGCAGCCAATCACATGGCGGCAACTCAGTGCATTTAGGCATGTAGACATGGTCAAGACAATCTCCTGCAGTTCAAACCGAGCATCAGTATGGGGAAGAAAGGTGATTTGAGTGACTTTGAACGTGGCATGATTGTTGGTGCCAGAAGGGCTGGTCTGAGTATTTCAGAAACTGCTAATCTACTGGGATTTTCACGCACAACCATCTCTAGGGTTTACAGAGAATTGTCCGAAAAAGAAAAAACATCCAGTGAGCGGCAGTTCTGTGGGCGGAAATGCCTTGTTGATGCCAGAGGTCAGAGGAGAATGGCCAGACTGGTTCGAGCTGATAGAAGGGCAACAGTGACTGAAATAACCACTCGTTACAACCGAGGTATGCAGCAAAGCATTTGTGAAGCCACAACACGCACAACCTTGAGGCGGATGGGCTACAACAGCAGAAGACTCCACCGGGTACCACTCATCTCCACTACAAATAGGAAAAAGAGGCTACAATTTGCAAGAGCTCACCAAAATTGAACAGTTGAAGACTGGAAAAATGTTGCCTGGTCTGATGAGTCTCGATTTCTGTTGAGACATTCAGATGTTAGAGTCAGAATTTGGCGTAAACAGAATGAGAACATGGAACCATCATGCCTTGTTACCACTGTGCAGGCTGGTGGTGGTGGTGTAATGGTGTGGGGGATGTTTTCCTGGCACACTTTAGGCCCCTTAGTGCCAATTGGGCATCGTTTAAATGCCACGGCCTACCTGAGCATTGTTTCTGACCATGTCCATCCCTTTATGGCCACCATGTACCCATCCTCTGATGGCTACTTCCACCATGTCACAAAGCTCTAATCATTTCAAATTGGTTTCTTGAACATGACAATGAGTTCACTGTACTAAAATGGCCTCCACAGTCACCAGATCTCAACCCAATAGAGCATCTTTGGGATGTGGTGGAACGGGAGATTCGCATCATGGATGTGCAGCCGACAAATCTGCGGCAACTGTGTGATGCCATCATGTCAATATGGACCAAACTCCCTGAGGAATGCTTCCAGCACCTTGTTGAATCTATGCCACGAAGAATTGAGGCAGTTCTGAAGGCAAAAGGGGGTCCAACCCGTTACTAGCATGGGGTACCTAATAAAGTGGCCGGTGAGTGTATATATCTGTGTGTGTGTGATTTACTCTTGTGATAAAGCTATATTTTCAACATCATCACTGTAGTTTTCATTGTCACATGATCCTTCAGAAATCATTCTAATATAGTGATTTGGTGCTCAAGAAACATTTCTTATTCTTATCACCATTATTGCCAATATTGAAAGCATTTGTGCTGCTTAATATTTTTGTGAGAACCATGATCAGGATTTTTTTTAAGTTTTCTTTTGAGAGAAAAAAAAATAGTAACAATGCAAAAGACTTTACAGCCACTTTTAATAAATTTAACGATTTCTTGAATAAAAATGTTACCTTCTTACAAAAAAAATCAATCTTACTGACCTCACATTTTTATGTGAATTATACCAAAGACAACAGCTCAACGTGACACTGAAGCAACGACAATGACAGCGGACTGGAAAGGCACCACACTAAACAACTCAAACTCTATTTGTTTATCTATTTATTGCCCTTATTTATTACTTTTGGTAATCAGAGTAAAGAAAATGAAGCGAGTGGAAGTCTTGTAGTACCTGGTAAAAAGACACTGAGGTTGAGGTTTAAGTAAAACAGCAGGAATGATAAACAAAAGAAGAAAATCCCCAGCAGGTGTTTGTGCTGATGTCCGTTTATTAGAGACTGTTTGTCCACTAACCTGTATGGCCTGTCTACCCTGCTGTGCGTCTGCGAGCAGCTGGATTGTCAGCGCTCTGGAGTCCTGCAGTGCTTCCTGAAGGTAGGTGAAACTGTGACCTGCGTGTCTGCCCAAGCTGCACTCCCTACAGATCGGCACGGAGCAGCTGTCGCAGAAAAAGCGCAGCACCTGTGAACGGAAACAAAACAAACTGTGAAATTAACGGATTTGCGGCACAATTTATTGAGTGTTCGACTGCAGTATATTGCATGTGAATTTCTTCGAAGACTCAAGCAATGATTAATGACGACAATAATCCTTTAATGTGTTTTTGGCAGGAGATTGACTGGATACAAACATCCTGACGTTTATGCATCTTGTTTTAAGATTACTTTTTAGAAAATCTTTCATTTACATAATACATATAAACTGTATAACCTTTAAGTTGATGAAAACGTAACGCGGTGCACTTACTGCTGTTCTAATGACAAAACATTTATGTCCGAAATTCGCTGATCGAAAACCTCATAACCTAATTGCAGCTCGATTTTGGTAAAATGTTAATATGACACAAGTGTCTCACCATATATAAAGCCACAATATCAAATTTGATTATGCAGTATTTCATTTAACAAAAAAAAAAAAATAGTGTTTTGATCCATTTCCTGAAAAATAAAAATTGTTGCCTAACAGCAACAACATTTAAATATGTGTCCATATTATAATACTAAAGGATGCTGGAATTTTTCTAATTACTAAAATGAGAATTTAAAACAAAACTTAGTTTGAATCCAAAACGGTCAGCAATGGATTCCGCAGGCAAGACTGACATGCAGTGTGATCCAAATTTGTAAATGTGTGCCTCTAGGTTTTATAGTACAAATAAAATAAATGTAAAAGTTAATTCAACAAGTGTGAAAAGGAAGCAGGCAGATTGTGAGATGTAATCGGTGTATGTGAAAACAAAGGCCATGCTTACACTAAAACCACTCTATAATATAGAGCTCATAAACAGTTACATTGGTCAACTGCCAAGACTATAAATGTTTACATGTAAAAGGGAGATGTGTTTATCACGTATATGGTTTTAGAAGCACTCTCAAATCAGCACATTTAACTCAAGAGCAAAAAAAAAAAACGATAAAAAATTATTTTAATAAACTTACGTTCATTACCATGCATTAAATGTATTTTATATCTACTACGGGATGAGTCACAATCGTCCAACAGCCAACTAGTCAATTACTGGTAACCTAGAGTTCTTTTTATATTTTTTCAAAAAGAAGTGTTTATATTTGAATCTAAAATTAGCCTGTTGACTGTGCTGTGCTTTAGCTGTTTACATTGTGTTTTGTCAAGGTTTTTGCCATCTAATCGTTCAGACAGCTAGTCAATAAATAGGTTTCATATAAAATATGTCGAGAATCTCGCAAAATGCTACTTCCATTCATGCATAGTTACAATAATCAAGACTACTTCAATTCTGCCACAAACTGAACATTTTATTTAAACCGTAAGAATGCCATGACACGCAACAAAGAATCTGAAGTCTTTCAAATAACTTGACAAAGTAAAAGATCTCCCCCAAAACAGGAACTCGGCCCTGCTTTGGGTTTCCTGTGTTCCGACAGCCTGCTGATGGATTGCTTGAAGTCTATTGTTCTGTCAATCCTCTGATCCATTTGGGAGTCACTTCATTGTTGTTTTAAGATATTTGACATCAAATAAACAAGACTTTCAATCAAAAGACGAACCTTCAAATTAACTTTAGGAAAATAAATGAATAAATATAAATAATCTCAAAAATTAAATATAGTATGTTTAAGAGAATGCATTGGATAACCCATTCAGGATTATTTTCCTGAGATTAATAACTAAAGGTCAAAACCATGTAATTGACCTGAACTCCATCTCACCCAAACAAATTCTTCACCTTCCTTAGAGTCAAGCTCAGTGTCAGGTACAGTATTCCTTTTCAAACCCCACTAGACCGCCTTCCTGCAACCTAATGACTTTCCCAAAGACCAGATCAAACGCTAATTATATCTCACTTGGCTATACGGCTGCAGCAGCTGCATGTAAATCTAGAGTCGTGATTCCACTCGAGTTACCTGCTCGTAAAAAATGGGTCCCCTCTCTGTGGGCCAGATGCTACAACTGTGCTAGTGCGTAAAGAGGTCACATGGAAGCACTTTTTGGGAAGCGGCTTTTCGGAGTGACTGGAATTAGCAGGAAGCAACAGAGAGGTGGTGGGAGGAAACCTACCACCCAGGATTCCCATGTTCCGATGGCTTTTCTCACAGGCACAATGTGTAGCACAACTATATTAGCAGGCAGCAGCTGATGGATCCAGCGACTTTGCATTAAGGCCCCAATATAGTCACGGGGAAGTTCTTTTTTGTTTCCCCTCTCTGCTGGAAGCAGCATTTATATGAATGTATAAATATGTGATGCATGCTTTCAATGACAAAATACTCAGACTCACAGCGGTGAGAAAACAGCTGATCATAGTCACCCCAGGTGTCAAGTCAAGACGTCACGTTTATTCATATAGAACAACATACTATTTTAAATCAAGCAGGTTTATAGTATTAAACATGAAAAATATTTTCTACAACTATTTCTACTATAAAGCAGCTCTCCAGTGTGTTCATATTTTACTTGCGTCTGACCTCGACGGACTGAATAAAAAAATTAACCTGAGAAGATTTACATGTCAAAGAATGTGGAGCCGCAGAGCACACCTACCTATTACGGAATCGGCATGGACCAAATGGCAGTTTGAAAGTTTACTTTGTAGAGCAGTTACGTACTCCCAAAACAAACTCTTTTTTGGCCTGATTTTGTTCAAAATAACTTCACACCAACTGTTAAGTCCAAAGTATTCAAAGTATATACAGTTTTATTGGCGAACGCTTAGTGTGGCATGAGACTTTTTTTGTTCTTGCCATATTTACTTATTTGCATTTTTAATGGAAAATTGTTGTCCCCGGTGATGTGGAAAACAGCATGAGGGAATGGGATTTTCAATGGCTATGTGGCTGATGCAACTTTCCTGTTGGCGGCTTCTTTATGCTAAAACTGTCAAAGATTCATATACCAGTCCTTACAGTGACAAAGTACTCATGCTTCTTTTCCTGCCTATGCATTGACATCTATTATCTTCCATACTGGACTCAACTTTTTATCTTCCCCACCCCCATTGACTCTCTCTCTCAGGATTGGGGCCTCTTGTTGTGCCTGTGGCATCCACCGGTTTTCCTTTAAAACAGGTGTGGAAAGATAGAGTTTCCCCTCTCTGAGGTAAAAAAAAGAGCAAGTTAATTCCTCAGAAACAGAGAAGTGTCCTGCTAAATGTAAACTCTGATGAAGCTCCAATTTTGGTGAGCTTCATACAGAAAACATATAATATGAATTGTCTTTTTTTTCTCCTTCAATAACTACTGTTCTTGTTGAGGAACATACAGAACCAGGATCTTCTGAAATCGTAAATAAATCAATAAAGTTTGTCAACAAGGAGGAATGTCCTAATTACAGTAGAAAAGCTAGAGGAAATAGCTTAACAATGGGCAAGGGGGCTTCAAAGATTATGTTGGACATTGGGTGGACCTTCGGGTCAAAAAGGTTCACCACCAAATCTCCATTTTGACATTCTAGTCCTTAAATATGGCGTAGGTCCATTTTATTGCACACCAAGAAAAATCGCAAGTCAGAATCTCGTATGTAATACAATACCTCTGATTAATGATTCATGTCTGTACCACAAATATTTCAAGACAAAGTATGTGCTGAATAGTGTTAATTTCATTAAAAACCAAGACAAATGTTCGACAATGACCTTTTTTCTATGACTACACTAACGTCACTAAATAATAACTGTGACTATCAATATGCAATATCGTTGACAAAAAAGATGAGCCTAAAACGTAGTTAAAAAAATAAAAACTTTACCAAAAACTGTTTTTTTAGTTTTGCCTGGTGTTTTACTTAATCTTTGCGATCTGGCAACCATGCGCTCGCACTCTCTCTACAATGCGGAAGCGCCACTGATATTCTAAAGACAAAGACAAAGAAGTGAGCTGGAGTTTAGCAATCTCAATTTGACAGTCTGCTTAATTAAAAGTGTCATTCAGTCATTCAGTCTGCATGTTCGTGACTAAATCTGCAACCAAACCTTTAACCATTTTCAAGAAAAAAAACTTTTGTAAAAATACATCTCAAAAAAGCAGAAAAATAAATGTATCTGAACAAATTCACAATGCCTTGACAACATTGGAGCACACATATGGGTTCACTTTAGCTTTATGGCATTACAGAGAACATGCCTGATCTGATTTTTTTTTTAAGTGATGCCAAGTTACTGCAGTATAATATAAGACATTTATTGAGGTGTATCTTATCTTTGTGTATCTCAAAATAAAAATACTATGTAGCAGATCATGGTCCACGTATCATAATAATGGATTGTGAATCTTAATCACCCTAATCATGACCGAGTGTTCTTCGTAGGGCTGTGCAGACCCAAATTCAGACACAGGCCAGACACAAATTCACGGACGGGCATTCATTTTTTTCAGGGGGGCACAAATGAAAACAACCTCATTGCATCATAACAGAATCGATTATGATACTATGCAATGATCGATAGAGCATAATAATTATATAATAGGCTACTGACGCTAAAGGTACGTTTACACACTGCCTCCGCAAATTTCGATGTAATTTTTTAAGTAGGTTTGAGAGGTGTTTTCAGGTCATCAGTGGGTGCTGTGAATTATTATTGAAAAAAAATTGGGCATGTTGTGTGGACCTCTGTCCCTAGGGGGGTTCAGGGGCATTCTCCCCCGCAAGAAAATTTTAAGTTTAAATGCATCAATCTGGTGCACATTGAGAGCTCAAAATTAAGAGCTTCAACCGGCTTCGACCCATGAACTGTGCACATTGAACAAAGAAAAAGCATTGACTTGTACCTAAAGAGGGCTCAAACATCTTGTTAATTATAGTCTCAGTCTACATTACATCGTATTTTATATTAAGCTATAGAATAGGAAAATGACTCTACTTTTGTCCTAATTTCTTCACTTGTAAGAAATAAACCCTTGAGCTTTTATTTAGGAGAAAACACAAGATCACCATGCTGATCGTGTGAGCAAGAGCGCACTTTTCTTTAAATCACGCAGCACAAACAG